AAGATCCTTATATAATGTGCAAATGTACTTATATGATGTGCAAAGATCCTTATATGATGTCGAATATACTTAAAGGATGTGCAAATATACTTGTATGATGTGCAAATATCCTTAAATGATGTGGAAATATACTTATATGATGTGCAAATATACTTATATGATGTGCAAATGTACTTATATGTTTTTCACTTCTTTGGTCTTTTGGAAAATGTTGTTTGTGCTGTATTTAGACCCCTCTATCAAGAAATTTGTTTTGCTTGCACACGTATAAAAATTGCGGTTTTTATCCAACGCAATCATAGGTTTGAACGTTGTTTTCAATTTAGATTTGCTTATATGATATGCAGATAAACTTGTATGATGTGCAAACATCCTTATATGACGTGCACATATACTTATATGATTTGCAAATATCCGTATAGGATGTGCATTTTCCCTTATATTATGTGCAAACAACTTTATATGATGTGGTTGTGTCATTATATTATGTGCTTGTAACATTATATGATGTGGTTCGGTTTACTTCATTATATGATGTCAAAACGTCCTTATATGATGTGCTTTCATCGTTGTTATGTTCAATGAACATGATTATGATAAGAACGATTACTGTCTACGTCATAACTGATTCCGATCTGCTTCTCCGCAATTACTATAAACCCGGCTCAAATCTGTAGCTATCGTTTGTTAAAGGGATGAGATTTTAAAAGAGTTAAACCTTGTCACATTGGTACCGCGTTTTAAAGACGAAAAAATCACACCTGATATATATATATATATATATATATACAAGTCTAAATTGAAAACGACGTTCAAACCTATGATTGCGTTGGATAAAAACCGCAATTTTTATACGTGTGCATGCAAGAAAAATTTCTTGGTAGAGGGGTCTAAATACAGCACAAACAACATTTTCCAAAAGACCAAAAAAGTGAAAAAGTATATTTTAACAAAACGCATTTGACTAACAGGTCGAACAACTGATGTTCTTAAACCCTGCTGACTGCCATTGGCGATTGCCAAATAAACGGATCACAAGATGTAACAAAATGGATCTTTAAAAATTATTAATCTCATACCAAACAGAAAACAATAAACTTGCGGAAAAGATGGTATACCGCAAACAAAAGGTGCAAAAATTAGTACACCATATCCGGATTTCGACAATTAATGTCTCTTCAGTGATGTTAGGGATCGAAACAGTATTTGGAAGGCCATAAAATTTACCTCAATTTAGGATAGACTCTTGAATTTTAAAGAGTCGAAATAGGATGAACGGATCATATGAACCCGTAGGAAAATATAATACAAGCCCAAACGAAAAAATATAAACAAGTCTAAATTGAAAACGACGTTCAAACCTATGATTACGTTGGATAAAAACCGCAATTTTTATACGTGTGCATGCAAGAAAAATTTCTTGGTAGAGGGGTCTAAATACAGCACAAACAACATTTTCCAAAAGACCAAAAAAGTGAAAAAGTATATTTTAACAAAACGCATTTGACTAACAGGTCGAACAACTGATGTTCTTAAACCCTGCTGACTGCCATTGGCGATTGCCAAATAAAGGGTTCACAAGATGTAACAAAATGGATCTTTAAAAATTATTAATCTCATACCAAACAGAAAACAATAAACTTGCGGAAAAGATATATATATATATTGTTGAGAAATTGTTAAAATATGAATTGCAAAGTTTAGGGTTAATCAATGGGTCTACAATAATGAACATACGGTTGAAGTGAATAAATTATGGATTAGATAAAGACTGTGCAATTTAAAAAAAATCAACATTTCAAATAACAGGAGCTAGAATTTCCACGCTGTGGAAAAAATATAATGAAAGAACTTTTATTATAATCTTTTTTTCTGCCCAAAACAAGATCGACATCAAATCATAATTCCATGACAAAATGAAATGTAAAAATAGTCAAATTGAAAAGCGTTTGCTTTAAATGTAACGGTCCCGTTGGTTCGATATAAGAAAGGGACGGATCACAACAATCGAGTTAGATATTATATTAGTTCAGATGTCAAACGCACCATACGATCACAGTGTCTTTCGTCAGGTACTTGTCGACTTGGTTGGCCTAAAGTTTTTCTAATTCTTTTGGTTCAGTTGCATTTTTCACTTAAACTGAATAATTTGATTTGAGGACGCCCATTTCAGACAATGATGCATGAAGTTTAACCTTCATTTTTGATACTCAACTATTTCCAAAGTTTCATACTCCTGTCCCCAAATTTTAACTGCATACACATGCTTATAACAAGACTTGAAGTATTAAAATGCGGCAAAATTTATTTATACTGAAAATATTTGAAATTAAGGAATAATCAGCATTCAGCCTTAGAATATCTACCCTTTGTATTTCCCTTAAAATAACTCGTGCCGGTTGTAGAAACAACTAAATCAGTGACCATAAAACAACTCAATATGAATGAATTGTTAATTTACGATGTCAAAGCAGTTTCGGTGTTCATTCTATTAAATCATTTAGTTATCACAATTGACTATAACATTGCCAAATTCTTTCAGAAATGCAAAGATTTGGTTTGGAAGTTCAGCTGTACCTGTAGAAGCCTTATAATAATGGGGATATCAAATCATATTTTTACGGCGTTGCCTTTTTACAGCCCATTGATTTATATATCATTCATGTAAACGTATGTACATTTGGATATTTCTGTTTCACACTGGAAACTCTATACAAGATTTTTCGTTTTCTATTGTCAATTTCCCTATTAGAGCGATGATTTTCTGTTTGTCCCTCCTTACGGTGCATATACTAGTATTTCCCACCTCCTTCGCTATTCCGGTGTCTGTAATGACTTTTCATTCAACGTAATCTGTATATAACTATTAAACTTTTTAAGTTACCAAATTACTGTAAACGTTTACCAAAATCTTTTAGAAATAAATAGTAGTGATTTTTACACCCCAAATATGTCCAAAATAGAAAATCAATTCAGATATATAAAATGTCATAAAACATTTATGTTGAAAGATCTTTTTGTCGATGCATAGAGCTCATGTGTTTTCATTTTTTTTGTTTTCAGCATATATCAAGCCGTTTGTTTCTCTTTTTAGCTTACAATACGGTATGAGTTTTCGTCATTGTTAAAGGCCGTATGGTGATTTATAATTATTTATATCATCGTCCCTTGGTCCCTGGTGGATGATTTGTCTCATTGCCAATCTTACCACATATCCTTATTGTTATATTGACACAATGCACTAGTAAGTAAAATGAAAAGATTTTGAATTTTTGCATTTTTATATTTTCTACTAACAATGACGTGATACATATAAGATATGTAATCTAACAAATATACTAACCCGGGTCTTTGCTTAATCCAAGAATAAAAGCAGAATGAATAGGAGAACTGCAGGAATCTATGATTAAATACTGTGGATCGCAATGATGGTTACAGATCAGTATTTGAAGCAAGAGATACTGCTTTTTTTCAAGAGCAGTTTCAATACAAACTTTGCCACCTAAAAATTCAATAAAAAACATAAAACATTTTTATACTTTACATTACATAGTTATAAGGAATAATACAAGTTGTTTATAATTGTGTCACAGTTGTCATATCTTCAATGTTTGTCCCTTTTCCTCCTTTATGACATCATAAAATGCTAATCATTGCCATTTTTTTTTATCAAATTAAGCAATACGCTTGATGCATTTTAGCTTTCTGGAAAAATGGTAAAAGTGAAGTCATATTCGTGTGTCAGAGATTCAAGAATACCCTTCCGGAGCACCTGAGATCACCCCAGTCTTAGGTGGGGTTCGTGTTGCTCAGTCTTTAGTTTTCTATGTTGCGTTTTGTGTACTATTATTTGTCTGTTTGTCTTTTTCGTTTTTAGCCATGGCGTTTCCAGTTTATTTTCGACTTATGAGTTTGAATGTCCCTCTGGTATCTTTCGCTTCTCTTTTCCGAATGTCGTATCTACATGTTAGCCTCTTTTCATCGAGTATGAAATCATTATATGCTAATTATTGCTGGCTATACATTTTTTCATATAATTAACAATACGATGGGTTTATTTTAGCTTCATTGGGTTCTACCGTACCTGTTTATGTTTTTAACAAAAAGAAATTTGAAAAAAAAACAAAATTGATTAAATTAAGTATACATTTCCTAAATGTCTAAACACATTTCAAGCCAAACGGTAGTACACATTCACCAAAAATCTCAAACAGTGCATGTAAAACTCTTAATGCTTTTGATTGTATAATTTAATTATTATTTCCATCACTGAAGGAATGGAATAATATCCCTAATTTGCTTGTAAATAAGGAATACAATTATGAATTCGTAAAACAATATATTAGGCGTGCAGTTATTTTATATATTGACAAATTGTAATCATTGAGAGGTTTATTGCACCAGTTTTTTTATGTATTATTTCCAGAAAAGATTAATAACACATTTATTGATGCATTCCGTGGTTGTCTAAATTTTAAATGTTAAAATGTTTACGTATTCACAATGAGTTTGTCGGGAAAATTATGAGAGTATTTTTTACATTGTTGGATAGTTGTCTCATTGGCAATCACACCACATCGTTTTATATGAGTTTTACTCAATATTTAGTTTTCTGGAATGTTGTTAGTCTTGACGTCTTTCTATTTCCTTTGTTATGATACTGTGTGATGTTCGATTTATGGGTGTCATTTTCATCTTTGGTTTACTTCTTACTTTTTTAACTTATTAAATGAATGTACTAAAGGAAGTGAATCTTTATTGATTTTTGTTGAGAGTGAATATGTGGATTGTATACTATGAGAAGCAATGTCAAAGGGTTTCGTGGTTTAATTTAACACAGAACAATCACAAATGATACTGCCAAATATTAAAATACTTATCTACTAATAGTGATTTCGCATCATACAGGCCAAGATGCATACACACGTTAAAGAATAAATTGTATCATTGTTCTGTACTCGAAAAAGATTATTGTAAAAAATACTTCCATTATGATTAAATCATTTTGACCATTGCATGTCTTCACCCACGTATAACGTACCTTGGTCCACTCTACATCCATTTCGGATAAAACAGTCTATAGTCATTTCCATGAGGTTTGAAGACATTTCGTTTGGAAAATCATTTATCACATTTTCTAAACGTATTTGAGATGCAAATCCACAAAGACTTTTCTCGCCATGCACCTTATTGTGCTTTGTTACCAGTTTATATATTTGTTTCCATTTTTCTCGCTTTATTAAATCATTCATCAAGTTATCAAATGTTTTTTGTGCAATTCTGCATAATTCATCGGGAATTTCTGAAAGCAAAAATATCATTTATAAAACATGGTCTTTACTGAAATGATATGTCGAAATGCGCGTTTCGTTACCCTTAATGTTATTTTTATGTCTAAAAACAAGTATTACTTCCCAAACTGCACATTTATTTAGAAAAAACCATTATCATTTCGAGGAAACTAAACACTAGTATGATAAGAGTGACAACGTGTACTAAAACTGCTAATTGTCTACCTATATAAATGTGTTCTTGCCTGCAGCACCTGTTTATCTGTATTAGGTTCATCCAAACCCAGTAAGGAAAACATAAGTTACCATAGGAAACATTTTTCAAATAAAATTGATTTTCAGTAACAGTGACATTGACTTTTGACCTGTTGACCATAAAATCAATAGGCTTCTTTTCCTTTCCTATATCTTTGTTTTGGACACACGGACGGATGGACAAAGCAATAACTATATGTTCCCAATTTTTTCGGGGAGCTTAAAAATTTGTAGCTTATTCGTACTGGCATAACTTACAATTTTCACTACAGAAAAATAAACAATATGTTGATGTGATGGTAACATTTGAGCTAGGGAGTTTACTGCCAAACAACTGTTAATGATTGGTCAAGTTTTCTTCTAATGGAAATTGAAATGCAATATCTATGTGGGACTTTTAATTTTGAATGGGAATAGTCATTCGATTTTATCTTATGTTAATAACCTTTTAAAAACGAAATACAGGTTTGATTTATATAAAATAATTAATAAACAAATTCCTTTATACATAATTTAGACTTTAAAAAAGAATGTATTATAAAGGAGGGAGTATGGTAAGAGCTTTGACAATGTACCTGGCATCTGAAATAAGTAATTAGTAAAATTAGAAGATAAAAATGAAAGATATATGCAAAGGCTAATAAAATGTTTCAATCTTTCGAAATAGAATTGTTTTTAATAGGGTGATTTGACAATTTGAGTACAGAGATATTAATTTTGCGCCACTATGTTGCTAAAAACTTGTCTTGACATATGTGACCTCAAATGGTCATTATACACATAACTTTTCTCCAAATTAAATATGAGCCAAGGCTTTACCCAGATTAAAATCGTTGTTTATGTCAGCATTAAGAACATTTTTTTTTGTGGAATGGCTCTATATAATACGGACAAGATCTCAAATAAGCATATCTTGGAAGTTTATTTTTAGTTTTGCATTTAATGTAAGATGTTTGAAGTCCTAAGACAAATATGGAAGACAAAATTAAAAATTAATGAATTCTGATAGAGTAATGACTTGTAGATGTGATTTGAAACAATTATAATATTTTTAAATTTGAGAATCAAAAAAGTAACCTTCATCATACCTTCTGTATTTTGTTTCTAGCAAGAATATGAGTAAGGCGATCCCCTATTTTTATTTTTTATTTTCTCAATCATCAAGAGCTTTGCATTTTTTTCTGTCGAAATACTATCTTTAAATTTGTTTTGTAGTTACATAAAAGTCCCTTTTGCGTGTATAGCATGTAACATGAAAACAATCAAGATGACCTTTACTTTGATTATATTTTCTTGAAATAGTAGAATATAAACTACATTTTTGCAAACAATCTATATATTCTGGTTTAACGTTCATACTACATTCAAAAAGATTTTTTTCTTTTACTGTAACCCATCAAAATCATGTGTATGTCTCTCGCAATATACCATTTTATAAAGGATGGATAAAAGATCAAATATGAGACCGACATTGTGCTTATGATAGTATAAGTCTTGTAACAACGCCTCTCTGACGTTTATTCATCTTCTATTTTCATTTATTCGAAAATATGTGAAAGATGTAATGGCCTTTTCAATGCCATTTTTGTCACATGATCAAAAGTATATTCAAATGTACTTACCGAAATCTGTTATTTCAGCAAGAAAGTCAGAAATCAATAGCACTGATTTCTCCACTATTTCCTTGTGTCTTGAATGTCTGTGTTTTAACCTGAAAACCCTAAACAGATCTTTGAATGCCACAGATGGATTTTCTAAGATAATGGTTTTACATTTATCAAATGTTTCCTGGCATGTATTACATTTATCTTCATCCTTATGTGTGTGGTCTTCGTCTGTATAAATTTGCTTTGTTTGCAGTTTTGGCTTTACTACTTCAAAAGTTTCTGGTTTATTTTTTGTTGCTGTCGAGCAGTCTCTTTGACAATGAACTAATGTCGTCACATCTATGAAAATAATATAAATTTTGATGACATGAGAGAATGCGAACTCATTGTTATGAAAAAGAAATAAGATATATAAAAATAAAGAGATGTGGTATGACTGCCATTGAGACAACTATACAACAAAGTTCAAATGAAGTAGATGTAATCAATTATAGGTAACAGTAGGCCTTAACAATGAGAAAAACTCATACCTTATGGTCGGCTATAAAAGGTCCCGGCATGAAAAATATGACACAATTCAATTGAGAAAACTAACGGCCAATTTATAACAAAACAAAAATTACACCACTATCACAAAATAATTAATGATTTGTAAGTCGATGCGTTGCAGAAATAATCTACACCATCTTTTAAAATTATTTTGTCTTCTAAATAAAATGACTTTGATAAAACGTATCCATATAACCAGAAAAATCTATTCTAATCGTTTTTATATGTAATACAATTGCAGATGCAATAATTAGAATAGATTGACTGATTGATTGATTGTTGGTTGCTTCACGTCAAGTGGCATTAAAAAGTAACAAAGTTAAAAAAAATATTGTGTACACGATTGCAAAATCCATTGTATTGTAGTGACAATATAAACAGATGATACAAAATATAGTAAAGACTTTCGAAAGGTAAGGTTTACGATCTCGTTAGTTTTAATTTGTATTCACGAAAGAAATAACATTTTTCGAGGTGTTGTAGATATTGTTATAAACTTACGACGGATAGAAGCCTGTCGTAAGTCGCAAAAATATGTGTGTGCAAATAACAATTGTTTTTTAATGGCAATCGTGTACCCAGATACTATCAAATCTGCCGTAATGACAGCTGGTAATAGTGTGTGTATAGTGGATCGGTTGTTTCATGGTTACGTGCTCGACTCGATGGATGTTGTTTGTTTTGATTCCCAGCCGGGTCAAAGCAAAGGCTTGAAAATGCTGTTTCTCTACTATGCATTAGTGTTTCTCGTTTCTTGTTTTTTTACAGATTAGACCGTTGGTTTTCCTGTTTGAATGGTTTTACACAAGTCTTTTTTAGGGCCCTTTATAGCTTGATGTTTGGTGTGAGCCAAGGATCCGTGTTGAAGGCCGTACTTTGACCTATAATGGTTTACTTTACAAATTATGACTTGGATGGAGAGTTGTCTCATTGGCACTCATACCACATCTTTTTATATCTATTCAACATTCAGTACTAACAGTTAATAATCAGAATAATGTATCCAGTAGGTTGATATATCTTGCTGCGAGCTGTTATCTTGTGAACTGGCGTGTGTAAAAAGTCGACTTAGGTGTAGGTCGAGCAAAAAGAAGAATTTATCATCATACCATACATTGTATTAACATATTCTCATTCTGACATACATTTAGTATTTGTCATTGTACATTTAACTTTTAAAATCCATCCATCAATTCTTCATCATTAACATAATCATAATTGCCCAATCATTTTTGTAATGCCAGTATGCAAAATTTAAAATCCACTTGTATTTGTCTCTCTATATAGGTTGTTTTATCTCATATATTTTGTGAAATCTGTGTCCTATCTCATATTCTATTCTAATTCCTTTTTTATTTTTTTAACAGAACATTGAAAGATGGAAAAATATATCACCATTGTGATTCGAACCGAAGAATTATTCCTCTATAACCTCGAACGTTATAACAAAAACCTATAAAAATTTTATCAAATTGTTCTCAAAAAGCGATGTTATCGTCAAGATAATTACATCAATATTGTTCAAAATAAAACTATTCTATATATATATATATATATATATATATATATATGGTGCTGGATACAATCTAATACACAGTTGAGAGTAAAATAAAAAAAGAAAGACGAGTAATCAAATGTGTAATGTTGACAAACAGACATATTTAGGAGGATGTTAGAAATTATTGTCTATTGTTTGATACTGCTTTATAAATGTATGTTTGTTTTCTTTAAATATAAAAAAAAACACTAAGTATCTTTTTTTTTCATTAAAGTGTAGGAAAAAATTACATGAAAAATGTCTTTGTTCTAAACCCACCATTTCCCTTTTCCTTACTTAAAATTAATCATACATCACTTTTGGCGATTTAACAATTACAAAGAAATTATAAACGCGATCTAATACGCATAGTCTGAAGCATGGCAATACTATAATGACAAACGTCCGCCCCATTCTTTAATTACCTGTACCACGTCAGTAGCCTGCCATTCATTGGTTGTCGTTGTTTCCACTTTGTCATATATGATATGCTTTTTGTACATTGTTGATAGCATTAATCAGGTTTTCTCTTTTGAATTATTTCACGTGTTGTCATGCCGGGGCCCTTTTATAGCTTAATATTCTGTATGAGTTTTACTCATTGTTATCAACGCTGAAGACCGTTTAATGACCAAAAGTTATTTCCTTATGACTATATTTACTATAATTTTCAACTCTTAACTTAAAGAAGTTATACGTCACATACCTTCAAAATCAATCATGTGTCTCATATACTCCCGGAGGTCTCTCTTTGATACATTGTCCTCTGTTGGAAGAAGGTCTATGGCAAGCTTTCCATCATTATTTTTTAGATGTGGGTTGATATTGGTTTTAACTAAAATTTCAATAACATCATTCCTAGCTATATTTGGTTTTACTATTTTTCCTGCAGCAGCAACGTGAAGACCAGAGTTTCCTTTAAAGTCTGTAATGTTCCTATTGTGTCCAGCATGTAAGTGAAGACATATATCCCTAAGCACGTCAGATATACCTTTCAGAGATAAAGTAAAACATATACTTTAACATTGGTTGCAACGACATTCCGTGATTTTCCAGTCGAACAAAAAATGATATGTCACCTTTATAACAAATCCTGTAATTTACTTCTACTGACGTCATACAACGAAAGGTGCTGTCAACCCGTTGTCAAGAAAAATTTTCTTCAATAAAAAAGATATAATTTTTTGAAATTTTTACTTTATTTTCATTAAAATTTAATTCAATGAAACAATAACTAATATTATACTTAAATATATAAAGGTATTCAACTCGTGACCGCACATTTGAGAAATAATGTGTTCTTCGGTCTCTCATTAAATATTGTTGTTGTTGAATTCTGTGGTTAATTTTGTATCACTATAAAGGTTAATAATTTTGAAATATGTTATCAGCAATGAATTAATTTCTATTCGAGCGGTAATGATGCGTCATATGTAGACGAAACGCGCATCTGGCTATTAAGTTATACGCCTTATATCTGTGATAGGTTTTTTTATAGGACCCAATTCAAATCCAAACTGCATCCTCTCCCTTGCCATCATCATGATCTCTCAAATATTTAACTGTTTTTTATAACAGCTGTTTAAAAAATATTAGAGATGTGGTAGACACGTCAATGAGATAAAACATAACCAAAGACATCTAGAGGGCAAACTAGAGTTTTCAACAATTATTATAGACAGGTACTAACAGAATATGTCAAGGTCTAAATCGTCAAGGGTATATAAAAGAATAAATTTAAAAGAAACAACCCACACAATTCTACAAAAACGTAAAGATAAAGATATATGACATACGACAACTACTGACTAGGTTCTTGAATTGGGACAGACGCATGAAAATGTGTTTGGGTAGCTTTCTAGACCTCAACCCTTCTTTTTAAATTTTGTTTTTTGTTTTCTAGTTCACAGTATGGGCAACATTTAAAGCTCAATGTGTTTCTTATAAAATGAATGCTCACCCAGATTCGAAGGGCGAAAGACAGCAGGACATAATTTTAGATTAAACAAATACGACTATGGATTATTTCTAAAATAGAAATGGATTTGATTTGCTCACTGTGGAGCACAAAAACAAAATGAATCTAAACAAATCAGGCAATCTCGTTTAAGATTAACAATGCATGGACTAAGTCAAACCTATATTGGTTTAGACAATCAGAGAAATTTTGGGTGCGAGTATACTAGTCATGAGAACAGAAATATTAGTGTTTGAACATTAAGTGGATGCAGATATAAAATAAATTTTGAAAAGTTTCGTATGCATTTTTTGAAACCAAAACATAGTGTTAACCTTATTGTTTTCAGTGACAGGTTTCACTTCAATCATTGGTAAAAACTGATAATCTCGGATCATTTCCCAAGTACAAGTTGTTGGTATGAACATACTAGAATTTGTAATCTTTGGAATCTAACCATAAAAAAACATACGTAAAAAACATTTTTGACTGTTTTATCAGCTGTTCGTGCTATTGTTTTAGTACAAGTTACTTTAAGGTATGTGTGATAAACTGAAAAATAATCAATCATATATTTTACTAGAGGAATATAATGTGTTTTGTCATCTTTCTCTCTTACGCATTAAAGTTTGTGATAGGAAGAAAAGTCCTCACTACTAACGTTACAATATTCTGTTCAATTAATTATAGAAAGTGGGTGACATTTTGGTATCTTTTCTTTTTCGTTTTAAAATTTCAATTCCAATAATCTTTAGGTAGAGTGTATTATCAATATGTCTTGAATGCCTTCTGATTGTAATATTAAATATTATAAAACTCCAAAACGCACACTGTTAAGGAAACAATTACCAGTTAAAAAAGTCATCCTTACAGCTGCGTTGATAAATGTATCTGTTTCTTGCGTTGATAAATTGGTGAAGTTACAACCACACCTTATAAGTTTCGCAATGAAATACATACATTCTGGAAACATCTCTAATAATTTCGTTTCACAAAGTGGACGAAGATCCAAATCCATTTTGACACCATACACATGTAAGGTTCGTATATATAGTTCTATAAATTTCGCTGCCACAAGGTTATTTTCCTGTATAAAGCTATATAAGACAGGAGCCCAGATATTAAATGCCACAGATAAAGGAATTGCAGCTTGTATGTTAGCCGGTCCTGAAAATATCGATTTATTTTAAAACGAAGTAAATTATTGATGAAATGTTCAATCTTATTTCGACAACAAACTTTTATATATCTGCTATCTCATTCATGTATACCTCACGTCTCCTTTTCCTTATATACACTCAATCTCCATCAAATTTCTTATTATATACTATATAGAAATAAGGAGATATAGTATGATTTACAATGAGTCAATGATCCACAAGAGACCAAAATGAAGTGGAATCAATCCACTTTAGGTCAATGTACGTTCTTTAACAATAGTCCAAACCCATACCGTTAAGTGAGCTATAAAGGCCTTCGACATGAAAAAATGAAAAACAATTCAAACAAAACCCATGGCCCCGATTAATGATAAAATAATAAATAAAAACAAATATGATAAACAGCAACAATTGAATACCATCGAATAGCATGCTTTTGATTAAGGACATGAACATATAGAATGTGGAAAGGTTAAATATGTTTGTTAGCGCGCAAACCCTTCCTTAACATGAGACAGTGGTACAACAGTACAACCTGTTAAATCAGTGACAAGGACTTGACTCATCATATCGGGACAAATAACAAATTCAACTAACAAACAAAATAAGACTAAACACACACGACATCGATTGAATAGAACTCCTTGTTACTGAAACCTAGTCCAAAGCCAATTACAACTAACAAATGTATCATGTTCTTCAAGTTTAAAATATAAATCAATACACATTCAACAGATTTAGTTTAAAGACACCACAAACAGTATGAGAAAAGAATTACCTTATGCAATACCAAAATATAACAAGACCATAATCTCATAACTGTATAGCAACATATATTTATATAAAAATAAGGAGATTTTGTATGATTGCCAATGAGACAACTATCCACCAAAGTTCAAATAAAGTGGATGTAAGCAATATATTTCTAGGCATCCGTACGGCCTTCAACAATAAGAAAACCCGATACCGTATAGTCGGCTATAAAAGGCCCCAACATTAGTTTTGTTTAAATTCATTGATAGCAAAACCAATATTAGTACCGTTAAAGATGATATTCAAAGATCTAACCACAGTGTTGCAGTTCAGTGTTTCTGTTGTTCCGTTGTTTTCCTCTTATAGTTGATGTGTTTCCCTCGGTTTTAGTTCGTAACACGGATTAGCTTTCTCTTAATCGATTTATGACTTTTGAACAGCGGTATACTACTGTTGCCTTTATCTAAATCAATAACCTTTAAGACTTATTTCATTTAAAGGATTTTAGACCGTTACTTCAAGAACTAATCGCAGTTTAAATGACAAACTTCGAATATACTTTCACACTTTTCACGCAAAATAAAATGATAGGGCAACACTTTGATTTTAAAGGCCAAGGGGCTCTTAGCGCACAGTGACATGCGTGGTAGGCATCAAAAGTCTAAAATATGACAATGTAGATGTTCTGGTTCCATTTTGCCAAATAATCATATTCAAATACGTTTTTAGAATTATCCAAGAATAATTGATGTTACTGAAGTTATTTCATTAATTTTACGCCAATATGTTTTAACCATATTTCGGCACATATTCGCTAGCCAAGGGTTGCGATCCAGTGTCCTCCTTTCCACCCTTGGCGGATTAAGATAGAATTTCGGATCCACGAGGTAATGATATTCATTGGTCGCAGTTATAACTGGCTGCATCCAATTAAAAAGCACCTTTAAGATGATCACGTGTAAATGTAGAAAACGTTAATAAACAATTGCCATGTGCTGATTGTTCAACAAGTCTTTTAGACCAAAAAAACATAGGACGATATTTAGTGACAATTTTAAAGTTCTTAATCAACTAATTAGAGTTCCTGGGTATGTGTCTAGCGCCAATGTTGGGATGTCAAAGTATATTTTCGGTGTCTGATTCACGAAATTTGTAAACACTAGACACAATAATTTTTATACCTCCACACTGAAGAAAGTTCTAGTGCTGCCATTGGTCAAGAAAGATGAAGTCGGAATGGGTGTGACTTTTATCTACCGGTAGATGACGCAGCATTGTAATCGCAAATGTTGGCTCATTCTGCCAAGGGTGGAGAGGAGGGACTGGATCGTAACCCTTGGCTAGCGAAGATGTATTCGGCAACAATTAAGAAAATGTCTTGTGTCAAAAATTCTGTTTTTTTCATTTTCGTAATTATCATCTAAAACGATTTATTCCTGGTTTTTAGATACTAGATTCCTGAACTGCCAATTGACAATCGAATGTAAGAGACAAAGTCTGACAACTGTATGTAATCAAAACGTGTAAACAAATCTACAATTTAGCAGAACAAGATGGAAAATTATTCAGACTAAAATGTGCAATTTTTCACAAATACCTATTAAAAAACAAACACGAAAACAACAGTTTTGGATTGAAAACAGTAACAATTCCAATCATTTAAGATACAAACACTGTCTTGATTACAATTCAAACAAACTTTTTTTACTCCAATTATTGAGTTTAACACAAAACAAATACAATTAAGCAACCCGAACTCCTCAAAACAGTGCAAGGACAAATAAAGATGCACAACAAGGGTCAGAGAAGTCAGAAGTTCCATCTTTGACACTCGTCGAATTGCTTGTTATAAATCAGGTCATAAAATCGAATGAGTCTAATATATCGTATCATGTAGTGTCGTAACCATGTATAGCAGGACCGCATTGTGGCTTCTTTTAAAACATGAAACAAAACAAAAAGAACTCATTTGTGTTTTGAAAAGACTATGTATATTAAATTAAAACAAACAGCACTATTTATAGAATACTTACTTGTTGTTTTGTCCAAGCGCATAAAAGTAAGGCAAATTTTCTTTATAATTTCAACAATTATTGATATATCGTTAGTTCTACGACTGTTGCAATGCTTCAATAGCGCGTTTACATATGATGTCAATGCATGTTCATAATTTTTGTTGGCAAAACAAACATCCCCACCAATATAGAGTCCCTGTAAAATTAATAATAAATAAACGCTAAAGATTTCGTACATCTAAGTAAATAGAGTGTAAATACACAAAAGCACTGCGCATTGCAATGTAAATACTATTTATGATAAAAAGACAAGACGTTTTCAAATGATAACAAGTAAGTTATAATATTTTATTCTTTGAATAAAATTCAGTATTATCAGTGATTTACAAATGAGATCATGCAGAAATGCCGAAATCAAATCTGTCATTTTTTCTAATAGTATATTTAGATTTGAGCGCCATCTATTTTATCGTAATCATGAAATGTTGGTGAGTACCCCATGTGAGTTTTTGCCATTTTTAAGTATCAAATTATGCCGGCAATAGAGAATAAAAAGAGATTATAAGCGTAATACATTCAAAAGTTTTTTTAAATTTAAAACTAGCATGTTATACACCGCTCCTGGTGGTCTGGCAGTCCCGAGGGTATCATCAGCGCATAAGTGATTTAATACAAACCTTTATTAAATTGTCTGGTTACTAAGTATACATTTAGAAATTATTTAGAAACTAAGGTTTCAACTCTTTCAGGCAAAGATGGATTTGACTATTATTTAGGTCTGTTTGTGATCATATAGCTATTTTAAAAACTGTTTTCGGATGCATGGAACTTATGAAGTGATGTTCTATAATCTTTTACAGCACTGGTTCGATACCCCTGTTGGTGGACTGTTGGGCCACGAGGGTATCATCAACTCAGTAGTCAGTACTTCGGGACTGACATAATTTATAATAAAACCTATCTTTAATTGCTCGTTTATAAATTAATAAATTATAAAAAACTAAGGTATAGATAAGAAGAGTTCTTAAGGTGGTAATGAATCATTAACTTATACAGCACTAAAATAGACTACTGATCTGATGATACCCACAAACCTTAGATGGATTGTTTATATTTTCTATAAGTTATCAGTACTGAATACTCACTTTATAACATGTTGGGTTATATCTAACACTGTCACCTACGGTCATCAGGGCAGCTGCGATATTTCCAAGATTCAAATGGCATTCGGTAATATTTCTGAACAAACTAGACAGTTCTTTGTTAACTATGTCAATGTTTTGCCTTTCGAGTGGGTTAAATGTCGACAGGGCACTAAAACACGCTTGTAAGGCAGTTGTGTAGTCTTTGTTTAATAATTCCTTTTCAACTATTTGAAGAAGTTGATCTCGTGTTTTTAAACCACTGTCTCCACCTAAATAATTTTACCACATCAACTTATATATTTATGGTAAACAGCAACCAACATTTTAAGGTGTAATATTTAATTATGATTGAAAATATCTTAATATATGTCTAAAGTATAACAAAATTGAAAAAATGACACAGGTAAAGTGTCTCCTACTTCATTTAATAAACCAATCACTATCACAGTCTTCTTGCATTATTTTCAAACGTAACAATCCGATCACAAATCAGTTTCGCAGGTATGGAATAAGTCTTGGATCTTAAACTCCATCTTAAAAATCGTTTAATACGATCGTTTGCCTACGTTGTTACCTACAAGACCGACAGGAATGCCTGCTTAATTACTCCTGTATATCTAAACGTTCGTTGGAAAGTTATAGTGTAACATAATGCATTTTATATTTACAGAAAGATATGGCGATTACCGTTTACAAAACAACAACCTAACTTTATAATTTACTCAAATGATCATTTTATAACCATGGAATCACTGATACCTTGTTTCAGAAAGGAAATTAATTTCTTTTATTTACAAAAAATATCTGAAACTTACTCGACGATGTTCTCTTTAGTTCATCGTGTAATCCCCCAAACTGTTCTTTCAAGTCGTAATCTTTTGGTAAATGGTGTTTATTATCTCTAAAACTGACAGCTAAGTCTTTCTCTCTTAAGATGGAAACGACTTTCCTCATTAGCTGGAAGTCTTGTGTATACTTATTATTGGTCAAGATATGGTATGGCGAGTCCTGATAACCATTTCGATATGTATCTAAGCATCTGTTTCCATGAATAGGCATTAGTTGAAGCAAACTTACATCACCTGAATGAAATATTTTGATAGTGGTTTATCTTTTCGTCTATCATAAAAAGAGTAACAATCGTCAATAAATGCACGAAAAAAGAAAATGAAAAGTAAGTTCGATAAAAAATCATTCTATCTGCTCGTCGATAAATCATATACATTATGTATTTTCAAAATAGTTATACCCTTTTCCTCAAAAAATCTGAATGCCATGAAAGCTAATATCAGCATGCCAATAGTTTTTTTATTTTTGACTTGTTCACATCACGATTAAAAGATAAGGAGAGTTTATTTCCCCTAAATCTATTTAATACCAATATTATTTTAAACATATCTTTACATTTCTATCAAAATTCATAATATCACAGCTAAATTTGTGTACATTGAAGTTGTAACAATATAATGCATCTTAACAAAAACTTAAAAGTACCATAAAACAACTACAGTTTTAATAAATGTTTTCTAATTTTGTCTACATCACTCCTTGTTTTATTCAGCAACCTTACCTAAGGCAAAGCTTTTATACTTATATTAGTATACAGTTATTTAGTATGCACAAATAATATCGATTATTTTTGCTCGTGAGATACCATCAAAACAAACGTATCACACTAATTTCCGTACGCAAAAATAATTTTGTAGGTGTTTTGAATATCATAGAATTTATACCGACGCAATGGTAGCAAAATAATTCCTTCATATGTTTTTCAAGAAAATGAATCGAAAAAAACCAGTGTCCACTAAAGATACAACTAAAAGTCGACGAAAAACAGACATTACTATGGCCAAACAAGAATGGCCAAAGGAAAAAAAACACCAGTCGTTTAAAAAAGGGAACACGAAAAAACCATTGACTGAATAACTTAAACCCTACCAATATACCGAAGGTGGTAAGAGGTTTTCCTGTGGGGATAAGCAGGTTTTTTTTCCTCTGGTGGGACCCCTAATGTTAATCACATCAAGAAAAATCCTACCAAAGCCGAGAAGGATCATTCATAATTCAGAATTCAGAATTCAAAATTCAAAATTCAGAGCTCGCAAATCAAGAAAGATAATCCTTTAGTATTACAGTTGAAATCCAAACACAACAAATATTATCTTAATCTTATCACTTGATCTTATATATACCGTAGATTAATAATATAATTGTGCACAGACAAACAATAAAAATGAAAAATTTCTTGTTATCACTTATACTCCGGGAGAGGGTTACTTTATCCTTATTCGAATGTTTCATGTTTTTCTTCAGTTCATAACTTGAGAATTATCATAATATAAAAATAAGAAGATGTGGTATGATTGCCATAGAGACAGCTCTTAACAAGAGTCCAAATGACATAGAAATTAGCAGCTATAGGTCACTGCACGGCCTTCAACAATGAGTAAAACCCATACCGCATAGACAGCTATAAAAGGCCCAGAAATGACAGATGTAAAACAATTCGAACGAGAAAACTACGGCCTAATTTATGTACAAAATAATGAACGAAAAACAAATATGATACCCAGCAACAACCGAGAACCACTGAATAACAAAATTAGGATGTGCTATCCCGTTAAAAATAAGTTTTCTACAGGTACAATCAAACTTCCAAACTAAATCTTTATATCTATGGAAGAATTTAGAAAAGGTTTTAAGTAATTTGTGGTAACGAAATCCCTGACTTAACAATTTACAGGTATTACATAGATTACATTCATTGAAATGCAAAACGTCTCAACAGATATGGGCATAGCGAACGAGTTGTGATATATAAACACCGTAAGATGGTGCGAAAGGAACATCGCCGTTCAAAAAGGTCCCTTTTGTCGTAAATTTAAGTGTAGATTTTCCGGGTAAAACTGAAATGTTTACATTTTCCCCGTAGAATACACTTAGTCACTCAGTGATGTATCAGTAAATAATTGGACTATTCTCGAGCGATAAAATAGTAACTTGCAATGCACAGTACATGTATACCATATATTAATCGAAAAATTGGGCGCCAGCATTTAACGTTTAAAAATTACCTCATGCTTAACTGATCTGAACATTTATGAAGGTAAAAGGTCAGACGCAGATCCAGGCTTTGGTGTCAAATTAGGGGTGGGATGGGGGTTACGTTCATTGGCATTAGGAAATAGAGGACTTTATTTTTTACCTAAAATTGACTGTAAATTTACCTTTATTTTTTCTTTTTAAGGGGGGGGGGGGGGGGGGGTGCCAGCTTGAATCCGCACATGCTGGTAAACAAACGGGGCTTTTTACATATTTCACTTAAAAACAGAATGTTTTCAGATATTATGAAGCTTAAATCTGGTACCTATTCCAAATTTCATATATTATAATTGTTTACATTGATATAGAATGCAGGTGAACCTTTTTGTGGCAAATTGTGCACCATCTTCATTTATACAACACAAAAATATATTGCGTCCTCTTTTCGGTGTAGTGAATGAGAATTATTGTCAGCTAGGTGTAAAATTAGAGAATAGGCAGGCGAAGAATGAGACCGTAGCGATGTTTTTTTTATTCACACAGGGAACAAATTGAGAATTTTATACTGTAAGAAATTAAGCATTTCGCATTGTGTCCGAAAAGACAAATTTTCTTTCATTGTACCGGACGTGCTTACATAATTTTGACATACTATATTTGATTGTGTTATAAAATTTCAACTTTGTTTCTTAATGATTATTTATTAATTTATTTCTGTTATTTATTTAACCCGAAATCGCCTTTGTAAGGGGCGAAAATGTTTTGCAATGTTCCTGGATATCAATTTTACCCAGTGCTTCCGGATGTTTTTATTGCATCTTAACACTGTCAGTGAGAAATCTAGTGTCAAAAACCATGCCTATCATATTGGAGTCACATTCGCTTGGGGAATGCCCCTTTTTTTATTTTTTTTATTAAATTTAAGTAAAATTTCTAAATTTTTTTAGTACTTTTACTTATTTCCCCACTTCTCAACATATGCTTGCTATCATCGTTTGATTTAACAATAAGAGTATTGTATGACCGATGCCCCTGTATTCCAATTTTAAACAAATTACAAAAATGAAATTTAGAAGAAGGGTCCAATCCTCTAAGCGCCTGTGATTGGAGATCTTGCAGATTCTTAAAATGTAATTTTTTTTACAATTTGAAACATTATTAATTTTCATGAAAACATTCTCAAATACACGTGTCTTACTAATATATCACAATCTGTTCTGGTTATTTTAAATAGTTGACATAGTTTTCATTTTATCAGCCTTATGCGTGAAACAGATTATAACGACATTCACCTTCAGTAAAGGAGGGGCGAAAGATACCAGAGGGACAATCAATGGTTGTGGTAATCTGGGTGACTGTTTAAAAACAGGAGAAAGATTTACAACTTTCGTGTGTTCAACGTTACCTTTATATTTTATATAGGTAAACTATTGTAAATAAAATACAATGTCATAATCAAGTATTTTGAAACGCACTTGGTTATTGTTATATAGGTGCATTCATGTTTATTTGAAATTTAATTGTGTGGTAGCTCTTTTCTTCGCCTCTTATGTGTTTGTGGGTTCGAGTGTCCAGAGGTGAGAAATACAAACTTTATTACAATATATTATTGCTGCTTTTTATGCATTTTTTCTTATATATCATATATTTAGGATATTAAATGACTGAATAATAGCCAACGATAAATCTTACGGGGCGATGGATCATATAATTATGATACAGTACACTACAAAATATAATATATAAGAAGTCTAAAAGGGTACAACATCACCAAAAAATAATAATAAAATGAACAAATGTTAAATATTTCGGATAACAGATATCCTTCATCAGTATGATATATTTAGAATATATATATATATATATATAGATAACAATTCTAGTATATCATATCGATGCACCAACATCTTATTGGCGAGCTACTGATCTGCATTCTCAAATAAATTTGGGTCAATAACCTAATGGCTTGTCGAGCTCAACTGTAGAACGCATATGTTTACAGTGTTTATTGTTTGCATCTATTTTTAGTAAAGTTTGTACTTGTGGCAGCTTTATGAAACTATTATATATGAATTTTGTGCTTTGTTTTGACTTTTCTATAATATTCATCGATTCTGGGCGATCTCAAGACTTCATTCGATTTTATAAAATTATATATTTACATTCAATAACAAATATTCAATTGGACAAAGCACATATGATAAATATGACATTGCGTAATTCAAATGTACAACATACATGACAAATAATGTATATATATCTCTTCTGAATGTATAAATTGAATTACACAAGTTAATGACAAATGTTGTCATATTTCGTTCAATCATAGACCGCGTGACTCCTAAATATCATAAATGAAAATTGTCAAAAACTTGACTTGAATTTTGCTGATATAACAACATAAAATCATCAAAATTTGATAAACTTTAACATGTTTAAGGATACACAAAATCTGTCTGTTGTATGTACATACCTATTTTTATAACTAGATTCTTCCTTTGGAAAACCGGGTTTATAATAAGAGATTGGTTGTATTTTGCTTAACCTCCAGTGGCAAATATTTCATGCATATTTATGACGAGAGAAAAATAACAATTAATACAAAAGCTAGGTCCTGTAATGGACGGTCGACCGTGATGAAGGGCGAGAAATTTGTAATGCCACTGGAAATAAGGATATATTGGGTAGGAAAAGAATTTGCAACAATTAAGGCCCCTCAAAAGTTGTTGCAAGCTAGGTTCTTAACGTGCAGAGATCGTGGCATTCTCTCTACACGAATCATCGGATTAAACGTTCCCAATATGACGTCCCGCACAACTTAAAGGACTTGATTTGACATGCGTTTTACTGCCGATCGGAAGAAGACCAAGGGATGACCAATTTAGAGATAACTGTACTGTATTTGAAGCTTTGCGGACGTCCATCGGTAGTTTAACTGTCGCAAATTGAGTTTACCTGGCGACGGGTACAGTACAGAACAGTAAAGTCAGTACATTCAGAATTTGACAACGAGGGTCGGTTGACATCTAAAATTTTACGAAAAAGCGATGATTTCATTTTTTCCATTGTGAACGTTCTATTTCAGTGAAGCGACATTCTCCAGCTGTGCCTACACATTGAATATATATACGATACGATACGATAGTATAGGGCTTGCGTTTTCTTTCCTATTTTCTTGATAGAGGGTTGCTACTTGCAAGGACGCTGTGTTACCAAGGGTTTCAAAGAGTAAAGTTGGATGAATCCCTATGAAGGTTTTACGGACCATTGTCCTTGTTTTAATGGGTTCGTGATCTTAACAAACTTTATAACATAGCTTTCAGTAGTATATTAAAGTGCGAACTTTGTTGTCTTTCATAAGCGCGGGGAAACATGATAGAGTAATGTAAGAGTTTTGAATTTTGGATTTTGAATTTTGAATGATCCTTCTCGGCTTTCGTAAAATCCCAATAATAGTTCTTCTGGTAATGTCAAAATTTGGAAAAGATAAGTAATTGTGGCTACGACAAATCAAACATCTGTGACACAAATATTCCATAATGATCAACAAAATCTAGATAACGTCCGTAAAATTTCCAATGGATTAGTCCTACCATTCAGAACGTTTTGTTAAATAACTTCCTTGTAAGTGGCAATCCTCTATGGTAGATTTATACTCTATATGAAAGTGCTGCTGGAAATATGCTACATAGAAATTGACCTGTTACAATGGAAACATTAGAATCTTCAGTTGTATCGGACAGCTCAGTTCTCATAGCCGACCCTGACTGTAAATTTAAAGGAGGATATTAAAAAATAGGGTAGACCTAACTATATATGGGATATCCTTTAACTCAGGTTGAGTGCTTTAGATGCAATCAACAAAGTCATAAAACTTTGAAACATTTAGTTAAAGGATACATTTTGCATGAGAAGCCCATGTATAAAAATGAGTAAATTAGACAGCAACCCAACGACATAAATTACCAAAACGACATCTAGAGGGAGATAAAAAATAAACTCCATAAGATATGATATAAAACAACAACAGAGGAGAGATTCTTACCTTTGAATATTGCATAATTTAACTATTGTTTTTGGATCTTTACCCTCTAGTTTTTAATCTCGACCAATGGACTAACACAAGTTACGTAATATGAATGTATAAGTAAGAACAGGGAAAATACTGAACTTTTAAAAAATTCCTTACTTTATAGATAACAAAAAACATACTTGAACAAATCTTCTGTAAACGAAAGATTAAAGGACATGTCATCAATAAGAAGAGACCAATTGGTTCTTAATGGAATGATGACCGTATTTTGAGTAAAACTTCCATCAATTGAATAAAATTTGTTGTCTGTAAAACGATATTTTTGATGAGATAACTTGTGAAAGATTTGTAATTTCAATTACAAGTTTCTTTTGTTGTTGCTAAGGATGATAATTAGGCAAGTCCTTTCTAAATATTCATATATACGTTGGACCTTTTTTTTATGAAACAAAAATGGCATAAATCGATTTTCCAATCTCATGAGAAATACTTCTGTTAAAAGAAGAAAGGTTGAAGGTTTCATAATAATGCTCGAGGAAACGATCTTAGATTGTAAATAATCTTACAGATTTTTCGTATTCGCACCATTCTAGATTAGATAGTTCCTTACGCCTAGTTATGATAGTTGATAAAACAGATGGTCAAGGCAGGGGCAAGCAATTGTATATAAGTTTATTTACAATTTTCGACCATCTATATCTAGTACTAATTACCTGTAATAAGCGCATATCTTACAGCAGCGTGCATATAAGTGTCACTGGCATCCTGCTTAAAGTTCATAAATTGTTTTTCATGCTTGAATAGGAGAACTGTTAGTGTAGGGGTCAACCAATTCGCTACTGATCTATCACCTTGAGTTTTCTCTATAAATTTGAACACGGTGTTCAATTGCATCTTGCTTGTGTCAAAGAAACTAGCAATTCCACAGCCTGAAAGCAAGAATATCTGATATCTTTCAAAATTCATAATTCGTTATTTCAGATATATTTATTACGTCTTTTCAAACATTTACCTCTTTTTCAGTGAGTACTTGGATTTCACATATTGCTGTAAATCTTAAATTAAGAATACTAAATAAGAGAGAAGAGAGATGCTGATAGATTCCTATTAACAACTGAAAGCTAAGTGTTATGACATTAACGATGATTTCAATTTTCTTGTATAATATATTGCTTGATTTTTATTACTATTCAGTACTTTTAGACTGCACAATGGAGAGGGATTACATAGGCTTTGCCTGTTGCCCAATCCAATTCAATTCATTTGAAAAAAATACCGTTAAAACTAATTAAACTAGACTGCACAAGCCAAACTGATACATCCAATTTAGGATAATATACTAGAGTGTGTTTTCTTAACGGGGGTTGTTTGTACTTAGGTATACTCTTACTCCATAAAAATTACGGGGAATACGATTGAAGTTTACACTTCACAATTTCTTCGATAATTAGCATGATTGGTTGTTCTTGCTTTGTCTCATGTTTTCAGCTCAATCGTAACAGAATTTTTTTTTCATAAAATTGATTAAATATGTTATTTGCAATAATATGAAATTTACCAGTGTGTTACCTTACTGGCTTTGAAACTTACTGCATGTAACTGCGTCTTTTAAATTGTGTAAGCGGTGATGCATGCATAGGATGAAATGCTCACCTTGGCGTCACATATAGTCTTACTGTTTTCAGAGTTTGTGCGAATTCGATATGCTTCACTCCAATTTGTCTTTTCTTTACACGGACTTATATTATATAACTAAAGATAGCTATGCTAGTTTTACATGTTTGGATTAATCATCATTGCATAAAAGATAGACATGTATTGTGAGATCATTGTTTTGAAAGGCTCTGTAATATTGATAATTTATTTATCATTTATTGATCACTCTCTCTAATCCATAGACCAGCTTCATTTGAAACAACCAATTTTAGACGCAATATTGTTTCTAAATCTATTGCGTATTTGATTCTCGGTAAATTGAAAATGATCTATATTTTTTTAAGTTAACATGCTTTATGAAATTCATTTATTAGTATTAAATTTACCTGTGTTATCTGGTTTGATTTCGATGTTCAATCCTAAAATCAGATATCTGATCCCTATCCATTCAGACTCTTTTGATAATCGATTAAGTACATCAGGCCAAAATTGGATAAAACATTGTTTACCCAACTGCGTATATCTAGCTTCTTTATGTTTATCTAAAAGAGATAAGAATTGTCTTTACTTCAGGTATTTCCTCTCAACCAATGAATAGTATTTCTTTTACTCTATAATTGAAAACAAACGCTTTCATTAAAAAATCGTATATCTTTGATAATTTTTAAGAGTAGACAAACTTTTCAACGCCGGGGGGTATCACCATCCCGTTGAAATCATATATGATGATATTAAATCAAAGGTGCTATCATTTTATGTGCATTTAGTGTTCACGCTTTCTATGTATTTTATTTTTGTTTGACATATTTTCTTTTGGCTACGATGGTGTTTGTCTTAATTTTTTGATTGCTGAATCATTGGTGTCTTCTTGTTGTTGAAAACAAATCATACAAAAATAGGTAAAATGAAAAGTTATTCCGTCTTAAACTTAGGCTATAAGTTTTCAGGTTAAATTCAAACTTCTTTATTATTTGAACAAGAACATGTAAATTCCGAGTTGTCTTTTCATAGTTTATATAAATTACATCTTATTGGCATTTTGATTCATTTTCTTTTTGTGCACATCAGTATACTGTTTTGAATCTATCAGCGTAAAATAGTTTATACCTCGTATATTAGGAAAAGCAATAACTGCACCAATGATCAAATCAATTTTATCTTTCACATCACATACTCGCCAAATGACTTCAAATCCACATAGAAAAGTTTCAAATGCATCATCGTATTTGCGCAGAATACAAAGTTCTTTTCCTTTTCTCCAGTATCCCTGTGTAAGATAATTCACAAATAAGTTTAGTGATTACAACAACTAAATATATCAGCCATATATGAAAACTTATACTGAAGTCCTTGCATGATATTGAAGCCATTTCTGCATATATTTGAGTCAATAAATGTACAAAAAGATGGCGGAAGATACCATGACGAAATTCAAAACTCATATGTTTAAAGACAGACAACGCCATAGCAAAATACAAAAAAAACCCAAAGAAAACTAAATACAGATCAATACAAACTCCATTAAAAACCGGGTTTGTAACAATAACTTTCTAGTTTTATTTGTTGTTTTATTTGTGAAATTTAGAAAAAAAATGGTACAGTCAATGTTTTTTCCAACACTCGTTCGATACATATGCTGGCGGACTGTGAGTACCTGAGGGTATCTACAGACTAGTAACCAGTACTTTATTGCTGGCATGAAAACACAGGTATATAAAGGCAGCAGTAGTATACCGCTGTTCAATAGTCATTAATCCATTAAGCGAAAAAAAAAATCCGAATTGCAAACTAAAACCGAGGGAAACACATCAACTATAAGAGGAAAAGAACGGAACAACAGGAATACTGAACTGGAACAAAAACAAACGCTAACATATATAGAAACAGACTATTTGATAACAACTGCCATATTCCTGACTTGGTACAGGATAGTTTCAGAAAAAAATGATGGGTTGAACCTGGTTTTATGGCTAGCCAAACCTCCCGCTGATATGGCAAAAATGACAACACGACGTGACAGGAAAACGGATACTGGACTAGTTCAAAGGCACATTGAGTAGAACATTATGAACCATGAAGTGGATTTGTTTTTTTTTAATTTCTTTTTGGTTATGTATTATTCTAACCAGAAGCTTTGAAATAACAGTTATACGGGAATGTGTCAAACAGACAACAACCCGACCAAAGAGCGAAAAGCAGCCCAAGGCCCTCAATGGGTCTTCAATAAAGCCAGAAAACCCGCACACGGAGGGGGGCTTCAGCTGGTCCCCCCAAAAAATGTGTACTAGTTCAACGAAAATGGATGTCACACTAAACTCCGAAACATATAAATGAACCAAAATTTAAAAAAAAACATACAAGACTGAAAAAGGCTAGAGGTTCCCGATTAGGACAGGCGCAAAAATGTTAAACATGTTTTGTGATATCTCAACGCTTCTCCTATACCTCTAACCAATGTAGAATAAACAAACACACAGCAATACACACAGTAAAACTCTGTTTAAAAGAATTCCGAGTCCGATGTTAGAATAGGTAACAGAAGAAACTAAGCAAAATGACAATAATATAAATTACCAAAGGACTACCAGCAGTTACTGGCATGCCAGCTCCAGACCTTAATTAAGCTGATTGATTCATCATATGAATATCAAGCACAATCCTTCCCATTAGGGGTTTAGTATCATACCATCATAAAATATACAAGAAGAACATAACCCGTATCGTGCCAACAACTGATTTAAGAATAACTGTGTTTATTTCCGATGCAAAGACCCTATAAGTGAATCAGTATTAATTCCAAAAAAATCCATATTTAATTACCTGACAACAGTATCGTTACTTTATACCTTCTGACTTATTTTTAAACAATATAAAAGTATTTGATCGTTTAAGAAATAATATGTCAACCACGTAATTCTTATAAGATATTATTATTTGTTTTTTTGTGGGTGATGTTGATTATTTTCGGTATGAACGTTCCTTTTTAAGGTAAGTCCAGAAAAGGTCTTCGGACGCAAAAAAATATAAAGTGTTCTCTTTATAGGTTATATTTGAAATTAATTTTGAATAAATTCCATTTGTGCTTTTGCTTGTGATACATTAGTTTAAGAATGTGTTTAGATTTCACCTTTGAGGATGCTTCAAGGATGTAAAATGTTCATAAACCAATCGTTTATGAATTTAGTAATACGTTTGTTTAGAAAATAAATCAACTATAACTTTTTACATTTCAATATGAGTAATATGAAAAGACGCTTTGTATATTTTCCACATTTTTTTTACTTCAGAAAACATGACAAAATCAATACCAATACATACAACAAACAAACCATAGAAAATGTTTTGCATACCTTATGCCATGTTGGATCAGCTTGAATAGCAGTTTCTGCATCTTTTAATGCCATTTCATGTTGTTTAAGCTTATTATGTACAGTTGCCCTGTTTGTATACAATATTGCTTCATTTTTGAAGTCTCGTTTATGTGAACAATTTGCTAATCCTTCAGTGTATATTTTGAGTGCCTTATTGAAGTTGCCTGCCTGAAAAGCATCTTTCCCATTCATCCGAATTCTCAAAATGCTTGTACTGATACCGCCTACTAAAAGTTCAAGTATAATATTAACATAGAAATGTCACTAATTTACCGACTTTCCTTCAAATGTCGTTTTCTATGTTGCTCAGTCTTTAGTTAATTCATTACAGGTTAGTGGGAGAAACTGTTTACTCATTTAATTCGTGCATTACATTATACGTGATGTTAGAGAAAAAAAAACACTTTTATTTTTACTGTTTGCCTCGTTCAATTCACGACGTAATCACATCAAAAGCATCGTGCTTCCAATGAGGTTTCGAAATCAGTCCACGGCCAAGTCTCATGAATATGAAAGTGAAAGTAACATTTCATAAAATTCTTGCTTCAAAAGCACGTTTCTGTTTTTAGAAATTCAACGGCGTTTAAATACGTAATTACGTTAGGATTTATATGATAAAAAGTAACATAAAACGAATAGCCAAATTCATCTAAAGTCAAATTTTCCAGGATTAGTTGGAACCGTAGTTTCTTAGTAATTTCTTAATTCATCGACGTTGATGAGTTGTCCATATGTAGCAAAAAAGCATCACTTGAAAGTAAAGCATGCAAAGACTTGTCGTGCTAGAGACAGAATAATATTTCTGGTTGAATAACGTACCTTCGTGCATTCTTATTTAACTACCAGTATCGTGTTTTGAAAAGCAAGTTGAAACTTTTACTGTGCATTCAAGTGTATTGCAAGAAATGTGCATATTCATATGCTATTTACCTGTCGTTTAGACTATACATTTATTTTTTGTGACAGGACTTTAAGAATAAGCTTACCAATCTGACATTAGAAAATAAAAAAAAGTTAAACTTGTTTTACACATACTGAATACCTCATAGATAAACATTTATAAATTGTATTTTCTTTCAATGATAGTATATGCTACTTTTTCTAAATGCAAACAATGGCGTACTTAAAAAAAACAAACGTCTAAATATTTTATTACCTGTACTGTTGTTTGAGGCATTCTGCAATAATCTGAATACTGGGTCAGTTATACTAGTATATTCAATCGGTGTTTTGCCGGCATTATCTTTTATATCTAAACGACAGCCATGGTTAATCAAAAGACCAATGATCGTTTCGCCAATAGTTGTTTTACGTATTTTTAAATCCTTCACAAGAATGTGTAATGCTGTATCTCCGTTACTTTGAGCATTAATCTTTGATGATTCAATTGTATGTGATGTCAGTACATATTTCAAAAACTCAGCATTACCTGAAGAAAAAGCAAAATACAAGGATTGTTATATTCGATTTTGTTGTATTTTGCAGTCTGCCTTATTCTGAACATTCTTTCTATCGCCATTCATATGTTTAGAAAAGGACGACAGACACCAAAGGGACGATCACGAATCATTAGTCGAATAAAAATGACAACAAAAGAAAACTACAAAAAGACAAATAACAATCTACAAAACACTTCACTTGAAACTAAAGACTGGCCAACACGAACCCCACAAAAAACCATTGGTGAACTCAGGACTGTCAGTCATAAAACTTTACTCAGTACCCGGAGCACAAAATTTGAGTCTGATGACAATAATCGTACTCGAAATGTTTATGACCACAAGACCAGGTTCTCTATAAGGTAAGATCCTTCTCCACTTGTGGCAAACGTCGTTTTCATCAACACAAGTACACATTCAGAGATAAGTCTCATTCGGCGTTGTCACAATTGCGGGAAACAGGATGAGATTGTGGCTATGACCAGTGAAACCTATCTCAATGGTCAATCAAATCATGATGGCGTCCTTAAAATTGTTCGGAGGGATTACTTTTGCGTTAAATCTCTTGACATGACATTGGTAACATCCCATACTTTTTCGGTCCACAACAAGTCACCCTGATTATTATTAGTGATATTTTTTTTTAAGATTTTGTAGGTATATGGATAGTATTTTAGTAATAAAATCTGTTTTCGTACATTAGGTAGCACATGCTCTATTTCTTATAAATATTTGAATATTAGATAATATGAAGTTTAGGAGAGTTTTTCGTTTAAATAAAAGAAGGAATAAAACACGACAGCCAAGCCCACTACCGATACAAAAACAAAACAGATAAAACAAAAAGTAAAATAACACATTTGAATACAAAAATATATCTGAACGCGATCCCCATAAAAAAAATCTTGAAGCAAAATCAGATGATCCGGAAGATGAATCAGTTTCTAGTTAATTGTTTGCACTCATCACGTTGATGTGTACAAGTATTCATATTCGGCGATGTCCTAGATTTGACAGGAAGACGAGATCGTTGCTACGTCTGATGTCATCTTCGATACAAGTATTCCATACTTTAAATGATTTTTATCGTCAATAATCAAACCAGAACATCGAATTTTCACAATCTTTGTCATGTATTATATTGTTTGCTCATGTCATAGTTTTAAATTCAGTATATATAGTTGTAATGTATACAAAGTCTTTAAAGAAACACAAATCATCTTTATACAATTTTCAAAACATTTCTGTTAAATTTAATAAATATATGGAACAATCATTGTCTTCCTTAATTGATGTCAACCTCATTGACGTTGTCTTTTAAAAGATCAACACGGGTTCCCTAGTTATAAAAGTTTACCCATAAGTATATTTGTTTTCTAGTTAAATCAAACATAAGTTTTTCTTTTCGATTTTACTATGTCTTATGCGTATTCAAATTATTTTTCGTTAACAAAATAATAAAAGTTCATGATATCAAAATAAATACTGTGTAACCTGTTTTTAAAGTAATGTTTATCCCGAAGCGAATAACATTTTCGTTTAATCCATTCTCGAATTCCTGGAACGAAGCACCATTTTGTAGTAATTTAATTGCCAATTTGCAGCCCCAATCTTTTTTCTGTGTGTCTGAAGTCTCAGCAAGCACATTCAGAACTGACGAGTCAGAGCAACTACAGTTTGAGAAACTTCCAGCAAGTTTTGAATCAGCGCCTGTAATAGCACCAAGTAATAAATAGGAAATGGCTTTCCATTGACCATTTGAAGATAGTCGTTGAAGGATTAAATCCTTAACTTCGTTTGTATCTGGATCTGTTATTTGTGATTCTAAATCAAATATATCTGGAAAAAAGCAATATACATTATATATAATATATAATTTATAAAATGAAATGTTTCAAAACTTTTTTTGATTAATGATAAAAAAAGAACGGATTGGAGAGGAGTTAATAGAGAAATACTGTCTACTAAGTACCAGTGTACTTTATTCATATAGGGACACGAAATTCAAATGAGAAATACATGTGTATTTGTGTATTTAGTAAATACAATGTTGTATTTTAATCCATTTGTCTATTATGAAAATTGGTCTTTCATTAATACCCAGTTAATATAGGAAAATATTTGTTTGCTGCCGAAAAACTTCGTAATTCATAAATAGGGTTATGAATGAAATATATAACACATTTATGCGAAGAACAGAGCATTTGTGTAATGTCCAATCCGATGTTGTTTGGGCTATTGTCTAAGTTAATTGATCATGAATATTGATAAGTTTCATGCGCACGCATTTCTTGCTGATCTTGAAGCACTTGACAATTTTGCTCAAAGGATTATTCAATTAATTTTGATTTTTTTAATTTTATAATATCGACAATTATTGCGTGATTAGCGTACCATAGTTCTGAACAAAGTTGTTTACAAGAACTCAATAATTTTATCGATTTGGATCGATTGCATTGGAAGTTATTGATTTATGTGTATGAAGCTGATCGTTTGGTACAAAATGTCGTAGGTCAATCTGAGTGGTGAATATTGAATTTGCTATTCAGCATCTTATAGAAGTTTTAGTTTCAATGAACATTCCTTTAGTTATGATTGACTTACTGTTCAATCGGAATAAGGTTTTGGCAAAACGGGGACTTACAGTGTCCCAGTACAATGCTGGTAAACTGCAAGCTGCAGCAATTACAGTGTATCTTCAACAATATAATGATATTTTGGGTGCACCGTGGGCTTCAGTTTCCAATACATGACATTTTAGACAAACATGGAGTACACTTAAAAACTGAAGGAAATAGAAGGCTAAGGTTGAGCATCAGAGGAGCCCTGATATATGCAAAAAAAAAATAGGGTAATTTAAAAAAAAAAAAAAAAAAAAAAACAAATTAGCACATTAGCACATACAATTAAAATGTACTTTATATACAAAAGTACATGTACACATGTGTTCAAAACATAAAGCTGATCTTTAATGATTTTAACACATCAACTCTTTGTTGGTTGTGGGTCTATAAGAAACTCAGTGTTTCACTACTAATGATAGAGACACTTTATTCAAGTACTTGTACTATGAGATACATGTACTGTATTCGAATACTTATACAGTTATATATATATACTTATATATATATAAGAAGATGTGGTATGAGTGCCAATGAGACAACTCTCCATCCAAGTCACAATTTGTAAAAGTAAACCATGTTATGTTTACATTTACACGAAGCTGTAAATGCATTAATGTTGTTTATCATGCTCTGCCACTGTTATCAAACAAGTGTATATCGATATTATTCGCTATCTATTACTGATTATAAATGTATGCGTGTATTGACATTTGATGTACATTTTGTTATATGCTTATAAGATGTATTGCTTTTGGAAAAAAGTATTATTATTTTTAATTGTATAATTAACTGAATATAAAGAGGACTGTAAATGAAGTATTAAAATTTAAAAAAAACTATGTCTGTATATACACATTTCCTTTGCTTTCAGTCCAAGAGCTCCCTTTGATAAAAGTTCACCCCGATAGCAAGTTAAAACGTACCGAATTAGGTAAATATGGCATTAAATGTTGATTAATTGAACAATATACAACAATCTCTCCTCTGTTAATATGATCTATGTGACAACTATAGTTGAAATTGGTTAATTTCGATCCAAAGTTTTAGGAATAAGAACCCTTTTCTACGAGCAATATTTAGTCTTTTAGTTTTACTCAAAAATGCCAGGGGGAAGGTGAAAACATATTCACCTTTACACAGCCTCTGATGTATAAGCAGTAGTCCGTTAAGTTCCTTAGAAATCATCTCTCTCTCTCTCTCTCTCTCTCTCTCTCTCTCTCTCTCTCTCTCGCTCTCTCTCTTTTATAAGCTGCATGTTCGAGTTTATTGTGACCATTTTTGAATAGTGTAAATGACAATGTTCTACATTATACATTATATATATCTAACCTTCAACTTCACATAGAATATTTATCATTGCCGCATAACAAGCAACCACGTCTTGTGCTTTGCTATTTATCTGTCGACATACATTAATTGCCTCTATAAATCGTGATAAGGCAGTGACTGGTTCATTTAGACCTTTGTGTGCCAAACCTTGTCTAAAATACCCCTACAATATAAAACGATCGAAAGTATTTAAAAAGGTATAGATTTAATATGGTAGTACGATAATATATATTATTATGTACATTATAAGTATTCATGTAACAATTAATTTGATTTAAGCTTTCCATTTGTGAACTTTCCTTTTCTGTATAGCAGCATCTCAAAGTAAGTTGTTGCTTGCCAAGAACTAAAGACAAATGATTCTTTATTGCTCCTATAGTATTTTTGGTACCTTTTTATAAACACATCTATACATAGAGGTTCTAAAGAGCCTATGTCGCTCACCTAGGTATATGTGAATATTCAGTAAAGGACATTCTCCAATATCGTAGACGAGAATAGAATTCATGACAGAAATTTTGTTTTTGTTGATCTTGTATTTCCGATCATTTTTTTTGTTTAGTTTCTCTCTTATCTTCTTTAGTTTTCGTCAAATCACAAAAGGGTAAAAAATCCTCATTTTAGGGCAAATACTCCTATAAAGAGTGACAGTCTACGACTAATATCAGTAAAATCTGACTTGTTTGTAGATCTTGTCTTGCTGATAATTTTTGTTTTTCTAAAGTTTCTATTTATCTATTATAATTTTCATCATATAAGGCAAAACGCCAAAAAATTGGTAAAAATCGTCATTAAAGGGCAATAACTCTAATAAAGAGTCGTCGGACGATTTTCTCCATTTATCTTAATTGTAGATCTTGTCTTGCTGATCACTTTTGCATGTCTAACTTTCTATTTATCTATTATAATTTTTCAGATATAAGTCATAAACGCAAAAAATTGGTTAAAATAGTCATCAAAGGGCATAACTCTAATTAGGAGTCGACTGACGCTTTCGACCATGATAACTTATTTGTAGATCTTAACTTGCTGATCATCTTTGCGTTTCTTTCTATCTATTATAGTTTTCAAGATAATAGGCAAAAATAAAAAAAAAAATGGCAAAACTCATATAAGAAGTCGCCTGACAGTTTTTATGCAAACGGACAATTGGTAGAGATCAACATTTTGAACATTTCTGCCCCTGTCAGATTTTTTTATTTATAACGGTTTTTAAAATAATAGACATTTTACACCTATGTTCTATTTTTAGCCATGTCCGCGATCTTGGTTAGCAAGCGGGGTCATCGGACACATTTTTTAAACTAGATATCAAAATGATGATTGTGGCCATGTTTTGTTAAATTTTGTCCAGTAGTTTCAGAGGAGAAGATTTTTGTAAAAGTTAACGGACGACGGACGCCAAGTTATGAGCAAAGCTCACTTGGCCCTTTGGCCAGATGAACTAGAAAGGTAATAAAAATGTCATTTAATTTCGGTTCGACCAAAGTATACTAATTTTCATTTTCCTGTTACTTGTAAAAAAAAACATTACTGAAATTAATTTTTCTCAATTTATGTCCAATTAGGTCATATTCATCCTCAAATATTCAGGTATTTATACACCATTTACATTCAAATAGTTCAAAATTGTAATTCACTAGCACTGGGTTGATACCCCTTCTGGTGGACTGTAAGTCCCCAATGATATTATCAGCTCAGTAGTCAATGCTTGGTTAAACTAAAAAAGTCAAACAAAAATACCGAACTACAAGGTAAATTCAAAAAGAGGGAAGTCCATACAAACTGACGTGAGACTCTATATACCACTGGAACGAACTAGCATGATTAATAACAAAATTTTCTATAAGGTCATATACCTCGAGCTCCTCACGTATCAATGTATATATATATTCTTAGCTTTTAAATTTTTTGCGTGTGAAAGGTGACAGTAAAAATCGCATCGGGGGCACACAATTATGAAAAGTGTTATTTTCATTTAAAGGCGTTAAAGATTCTTTTTATTGATATCAGTCAAGTTATAAATATTAAGCCTTCTTATTCCAAACTTCAGTTTCACCAGAAGCTATATAACCAAGGTTTCGTAATCGTCAAGTAGAGGTCATTCTTTTCGAAATTTAAACGGACGCTATCATGATTTGGTTGACCGTTATGGAATATCTGTGTCACAGATTACTAAGTATACATTTGTATGTTCAAAATGTCGAAGCCACAATATGGTCCTCCTTTTCTCGTTTGTGACATCCCTGAATGAGACTTATCACCAATTGTGTACTTGCTACGTATGTCATGTGTTAAACCGGGACTACTTAGCTTTTGGAGCACCTGATATCACTACGGGTTTTCGGTAGGCTAGTATAGCTCCGTCTTTGTTTGTCTATGGAGTGTTCTATAGAATGTCGTCGGTCTCTTTTAACCAGTTTGATAATATATCATCTTCACACGATTAACCCGTAACATGTGTTTTGAAACCCGACGAAAAAGATCATGCATCACCATTATCATATACTACATGGAACACAAGTTTTCATTTTAATTCTTGACATAATTAAGCATAAAAAATCCTGTTTGATGTTTGAATCTGTTAAATCGTGTATTGAACAAATATCTATGTATTCATTATCGCTCCTAAATGACGTTTTATTTACAATAAAGAAACTTGTGAAAAACGATTCATAGATAGTATATTAAATACAAATTTAAATCTTAGCTTGAAGGTACAAAATAAAATAACAATAGAATATATATTTAACTTTCAAACTACTTGCGTTGAAGCATAAAGGTACAAAAGAAAATAACCAATAGAACATTTATTCAACTTTCAAGACTACACTTGAGGCAATACGGTATAGAGATTGAAAACATACTTGTAAATAAGCAGCCTGGGGAATCTCATTCAAAGTTTGTACGATCACGGAAAATAATTGAATTAAATTGGATTAAAAAATTACAGACAGTCTATCCTCTCGGTTTTAATGATAATATCATGGGAATTGGTAATATATCAAGAACCGATTCTGTTAACATTTTGGATATAGTTTCTAAAACTGTTCGTAAAAACCGTTCTCATGGGAGTAGAATAAATCTCAATCAGAGAAAATTTCGTACTAACAATACAAATAATTCGGACCTAATTACTATTTCAAAAAACAACGGCAGACATTATCTGTAAACCAAGCTCTGTTCTTTACCTGTTAATAAATTACATCAAATTTTAGAGGATTGCAACACAATTCCATATTGCAGCCCTTAGTATGAAATCGTCCAAATTATAATTGCATATTGTTATTCTAAACTGTTTTCCAAAATTGATCGCCTTGAAGATCATAAAAAACATTTTATTAAAATCAAATATGTCAATAAAGGTTTTGATTTTGTAAATATTGCCGGTATTTTTAATGATCATTCTGTTAAAGAACAAATTCCTGGCTATTTTGATAATACTGAACTCCCTCTTATTTGTTATGTTAAAAATCTACCCGGAAATATGTGTTTAATTATAGCGAGGGTGTAAAGATGTTAATATCAGTGACAATACACCTACGTCATGAAATTGCAGTAATTCCGAATACATTTATGGCCCCAGTTCCCATGTTATAACAGGAGACCTTAAAATCGTTCATGACCGCGAGTTGAAATCATTCCTAAGTAAAGGACCTAAATATCGTCCCCCGTCAATTATAAACTGGAATGAGTGTCGTAACATCATCCACGACTCACTCCGTACTTACTGCTCGAAATGGATAAAACGAGAAAATGCTGACAAAAATCCTTAGATTCTTTTTTAATTCAGTAATGAACATAGTTGATATTCGTATTAAACATTTTAAAGAACATTTTACTCCTAACAACAACTATAATAGCCCTATTTCTCGTTCAAACATAAGCTAAAAGAACTCGGCAAGGAATTTGTTTTTGTACCGGCTGATAAGGCTCATAATATCATTATTGTTTGACGTAAATTTTACACTGAGGTTCTGTAAAAGGAAATCACGAATTCACCAACATTAAAACTGACTCCATTTTCGAAAAATGACATCTGTAACAAACATTAACTTTTAGCTACCTCTTTACAAGCAGAACCAAATACAATGAAAGTTCCAACTATGTACTGGCTTCCGAAGCTGCACAAAACACCTTACAAATATAGATTTATTTCGTTTCAAGCCATATTTCCACTACTAAACTGTATATTCTACTTACTAGTACACTTGGTGCTGAACTGACTTAAAATAAAGCTAATACTAACAATTAACACTGCCCTTTCCTGGATCTTGATATCTATATCTTTAACGGGAAGCTTAATGCCAAAATTTATCATAAAAGAGATGATTTTTCATTTCCCATTGTTAATTATCCATTTTTAGATGGTGACGTTCCCTTATCACCATCTAATGGTGTTTATATATCTCAACTTGTTCGATTCGCTCGTGTATGTAACAACGTATTTGATTTTAACGAAAGAAACCTCTGTATTACTGAGAAATTATTACACTACGGTTTTCGATATCACAAACTAGTCAAAACATTTACTAAATTTTATCATAGGTACAAGGACATCATTCGTAAATATAAATCAACATGCAGACATCTTATACGTTCAGGTATTTAACATCCAATCTTTTATGGTAATATTCTATACAAAGCACAAAAATGTCGACATTCACCTCAAAAGCTAACCAAACCTTTAAACAGACTTATTCAGAAGGGATATAGTTACGATACTGTTGTCAGGTCTTAAAGATGGCATATTTTTGTACTAATATTAATTCACTCATAGGGTCTTTGCATCGGAAATAAACACATTTATTCTAAAACCAGTTGTTGGCATGATACGGGTTATGTTCTTCTCATATATTTTATGATGGTATGATACTAAACCCCTAACCATGCTAACGGTAGGGATTGTGCTTGATTTTCATATGATGAAGACATAATCTTTTAATCAGTTTAATTGAGGTCTGCAGCTGGCATGTCAGTAACTGCTAGTAGTCCTTTGTTAATTTATGTATCATTGTCATTTTGCTTAGTTTCTTTTGTTACCTATTCTGACATCAGACTCGGACTTCTTTTAAACTGAGTTTTACTGTGCGTATTGGTATGTGTTTGTTTATTCTACATTGGCTAGATGTATAGGGGGAGGGTTGAGATCTCACAAAACATGTTTAACCCCGCCGCATTTTTGCGCCTGTCACAAGTCAGGAGCCTCTGGCCTTTGTTATTCTTGTATGTTTTTCAATTTTAGTTCATTTATATGTTTTGGAGTTTAGTGTGACGTCCATTTTCATTGAACTAGTACACATTTTTGTTAAGGGGCCGGCTGAGGCCTGCCTCCGGCTGCGGGGTTATCTCGCTGTGTTGAAGACCCATTGGTGGCCTTCGGCTGTTTTCTGCTCTTTGGTCGGGTTGTTGTCTCTTTGACACATTCCCCATTTCCATTCTCAATTTTATTGGAAAAAAGGAAAATAATCCATAAATAGTAGATTCTATTTTCAAGACTAATATTGGAGCAATGATGGTTTGGGGAAAAATTACATTTTTGCTTAATATGCGCTTTGTATATAGATTGTCTATATGCCATTTTGTTTTTCTTTGTTGACATAGTTGTTTGTTTTCATAGTGATTAAGATTATAACACAATGTTGGCTGCTGTACCCCAATTTTTAACATTTTTACCTATTATATCTGTTTGTTTTGCTCACACATTGTTGTCAATATAAATGAATTTCAAGCGACTGTCATACAAGTGAAAGGTTTAGCTAGCTATAAAACCAGGTTTAATCAACCATTTTCTACATAAGGAAATGCCTGTACCAAGTCAGGAATATGACAGTTGTTTTCCATTCGTTTGATGTGTTTGAGCTTTTGATTTTACCATTTGATAAGGGACTTTCCATTACTGTGTAAAGTATATACGGCTTTTTTTTCTGTAAATATGCTATTTTCAAGACTAATATTTGAGCAATGATGGTTTGGAGAAAACATTACATTTTTGCTCATGTGCTTTGTATATGGAGTGTCTATATGCCATTTTCAAGACTAATATTGGAGCAATGATGGTTTGGAGAAAACATTACATTTTTGCTTATGTGCTTTGTATAAAGAGTGTCTATATGCCATTTTCAAGACTAATATTGGAGCAATGATGGTTTGGAGAAAACATTACATTTTTGCTTATGTGCTTTGTATATAGAGTGTCTATATGCCATTTTTGTTTTTCTTTGTTGACATAGTTGTTTGTTTTTATAGTGATTAAGATTATAATACAATTTTGGCTGTTGTACCCCAATTTTTGAAATGTTTACCTATTATGTCTGTTTGTTTTGCTCACATATTGTTGTCAATATAATTGAATTTTAAGCGACTGTCATTTATGTACAAAATAATGAACGAAAAACAAATATGTAACACAACGCTTCAAGATTTCCAATAGCGTTTTAAAAAAAAAACGCTTAACAAAATTGAATTTCAATTATCTTAGTCATGTTAATTGAGGGGAATAATTCAACATATCATAAACATCATATTTACAGAAAAAAAAGCCGTATATACATTACACAGTAGTGCCGACAATCGGACTAATCAGGGGGCGAAGCTTTCACCAAAGGCAATGACAGTTAATTTGAAAGTTCATCAACGATATCAGGCATGAAATTTGGTTCGCCTTCCTTGTGGTTTAAAAAATAACCAAAGATTTTTCTACATAGGAACATTTGATAATACAGTTTTAAGATAATATAAAAAAAAGAAGATGTGGTATGATTGCCAATGAGACAACTCTCCACAAGAGACCAAATGACACAGAAATTGACAACTATAGGTCACCGTGCAGCTTCAACAATTATCAAAGCCCAAACCGCATAGTCAGCTATAAAAGGCACCGAAATGAAAAATGTAAAACAATTCAAACGAGAAAACTAACGGCCTAATTTATGTACAAAATAATGAACGAAAAACAAATATGTGACACAGCAACAAACGACAACCACTGAATAAAAGGCTCCTGACTTGGGACAGGCACATACAGAATGAGGCGGGGTTAAACTAGTTAGATGGCGCCAAACCCTCCCCCTAACCTGGGACAGTGGTGTAACAGCACAAAACAAGAACACACTCTACAAAACAATAAACGAAAAACAACTGTTATAAACAACTACAAACAACAACCACTTAATACAATTATAAATTAATCTACTGCAAAACTGCTTGGGAATGATAGAGGCACAAAATAGACATTCATGTACTTCCTTTCCAATTAACCTTTTGTTTGTACCAGTAGTGCAAAAGCATGACAGTATCATAACCTCTTCTTTTTTGTATTTAACAACAATTTTATAGAAGTGTGGAAATGAAATTATTTTTCATGCATCAATACACGACAAACTTTGCCAGTATTTTAAAATTACCTTTTTGGAACTTGTAATAGTTTGATACGAAGTCATAATCGATTATAATCAATTATGCTAAAGAGGATTGATATATGTCTCTTTATTCTCACGATATAACTAATTCATGAACCATGAGTTCATATTTATCCTCTCATCCTGATAAATGACCGTCTGTAAAAGTTTGAAATTAATATAAATTCGAAACGAATGATCGACAGGGCCATGAGTATTTAAAAAAACAACAGACATTGATAAAAAAAAAAACATAGTGAGAGAGAAAAAAAAACCCAGAAAACTTAAGTAAACGTAAAACAGACCACAGGACGTATTGTGTGCAATCTATTTAGCATTCAAAATTTTAAATCACTTTTAACTGGTCAAAATAAAAGTGTCTATTGGACTTTAAGGTAAAATCAAAACAAAAGAATTTTCGCCATTAAAAGATTCTTATGAAATTTGACTAGAGCTCGATAATAGGACACCAATCCCTGAAGACGTGGTTAACACTGTCAAAATCTGTTTTCATGAAAGATACCTTGAACAATAATGATTCAATTGATAATAATCAATGGCATTAAGTAAAGAAAAAAGAATTTAAAAAGAGTCTGAAATAACATAAGTCAAGTAAGTTGATTGTTAGAAACTAAGACGAAAAACTGATTTTACAATGAATAATTGTATGAATTTGGTATGTATAAAATCTTGAGTACCTTGTTAAATCCCGGATAGCAAATTGTGGCTTGCGTTGCATCGTGCAAACTGTTTTTGTAATCTTTTAAGTTGAAATAAACCAGTGACCTATTGCAATGCAATGTTCCCAATTCTTCTGGTCGAAGTGAAATTCGCAATGCTAAAGATATTGCTTCGTTATAAGCATCAAGGGCAAAAGCATTATTATTGTGTTTCAGTGCATCTTTTGCGTCTCCTTTCAATTTTTGAATCGTACCTGAAACAAGATTATTTGAAAAAATTATGGGCATATGCATTGCTCTATTCTAAATTATTACTCTAAATGTTTAAAGCCATTACAATTATCAGGTTTGCAATTTAGTAAACCAGGAGCGCGTTTCGTCTAGATAATTAAGAATACATGGCAACACTCATTATTCAAAACGTCTGTAATATGCCCTATAAGTGATTAAAAATTACAGTCATTATTTTCTTATTCATTTCACATTTTGTAACAAACATAAATCCCATTTCCACGTGCACGGCATGTGTATAGAATAATTTTTCATTATGTACACCAGAGACTAAAACTTTAGAATTGCATAAATATAAACCATTTGAAAGCATAACGACCATAGGGGCATGAATTGAACAGCCGAGATTTAAACTTTGCATAAAGGAGAACTTTAGTTTAATTATAATTCGTAATGTATGCACTGTACAGATTAAATTCATTATTTAAAGTATACAATTACCAAAGCATAGACTGTTGTTCAAATACTATTTAAAATATTGAAAAGACGTCAAATCCAAAAGACATCTGTTAATCAAACGTGTGTGTTATATAGCTACGTCGCATACAAAACAGTGTATATCTTTTATGTACAGTAATAAACAGACACAATTTGGAAAACTGACTTAGCATGAGAGAAAGTCATAAATACATAATATTTATTTCAAATATGAATTTTCAAACGGTATATTAATTTGATTATATATAAACTCCGCAAAAAGATTCTTCGGACGCATGAAAATTGTAATAATATTAACGGTACCTGTTCTATTGTATAAATTTTACGCAAATTGAAATACATACCATATAATTCATTCTGAAAAGATTGTAAGAAGGGACTTCTTGGAGAAAATTGTGGAAAGTAAGACATGGTTTTATCGTCTCTTTATTGAACAAATGATTTTACATTCTCACATAATTTTAGAATGTAACTAAGCACCTGAAAAAAAACCATGCAAAATTAAACTTAAACAAATACTTAATGATAGTCTTTATGCATTATTGTGAAGTCAAAATTTATTCATATTGCATTTATTAATTTACCCTTACTTAAATTCCGTCTGATAAGAAACGTTAGATCAGAATAAAACAGGTAAAGAAAAAAAAAACTGAATCTCAGAAAAAATATGGTATTATCCATAAATTATAATTACCCCTCTTTTCGAAATTCGAAAGGTTTTTATTTATTCATAATCTTATCGTTTTTATGTCCATCTGAATATAAACTAGATATTTAATTTCATATCAAAGTATAATATATTAAATTATTGTGAACTTGTCTATAGATAAGACCTCACAAAAATTGAATGTTAACCATTACCCTGGTGAAATATGCAAAGTCATACATCAGATGATTGCATTCTTCAAATCCCTGTTTTCTAGTGAGGAATTAATTTCTTTATCCGTGCTGTCAAACCATAGTTCAATACAATGTTTTTATAAATCCTTAAAAGCTAAAATATACAGCACATTCGTCTTATAAACTAAGACCGGAAGTAAAGACAACCGTTTTGAACATCTTTTGAAAGACCCCAACACAACTGAGAAACATATCGCAAGTCAAGCATTTTTTGCAGTGAATAATTTTACCGAGCGAATCTCATACTTTTTTGTTACCTCTCTCCACGTACTTTAGATTCAAAGAACAATTAAGAAACAGATATTATTTGCTGCGGAAAAATCTTCACTTTCGATCATAGTACTTGTCGTTTGTCAAAAATGTAGCTAAAAAGGGGTTGGTTTATCATTTTTAAGGGCAGATAAACAGGTAGGGATATTTTATGAATAATCCAAAAAGCAAATGAAAAATACCAAGAGACTAGCGAGAAACTGAAAAATAGGGGTAAAAGCTATGTTTTAAAATTGACGATTATCCATTTCCGCCTAATGTACAATATAGAACGCAAACTAATCTACTGACACATATTTCTTCCCAAATAATTTTTGATATAACTCCTGTGACGGACGTGGATAAAGGATTTTTGTCAGTACTAGAAATAAGATAATTTATAACTCTTGGTCAACTGTTTTGATAATAGAAATACAAATTCTTTGAAGTTGATGTAACATCCATAATGTTTTGCGTTATAAATGTTTCGGTTTTAGTCGAAAGATAAATACAATTTGTTAAAGGGGTATTAGCTGTCAAATTCATGTTCACCGATTTGACTCAAATTCTCATGTTTGATTTATAACATACTTAAACTTATATCCAAATTACAAAAGGTGTAAAATAAACAATTAGCAATACATGGGCTAGATAATATGTATCAGCATATCGTCTGTATGTTAGTCTAGACGCCATCTAGTTCTGCACTTTTTGGTCAAAAAACTGTTCAACCTTTTTGGTTTGCAAACATCCTTTGTCTTTCAAGTATTATACTTTGAGTGTTCCTGATGTAGGTAAATCCAGGAAAGCTCTTCACACGCATGAAATTAATAAAACATTGTTTTCATATTTTACAAATCTCCGCGTTATCCTACTCTTAAATCGGAAAAACCGCAAACTGAGTAAAAACGTTCACGTTGAGAAAAGCACACATAAAAAAAATATACAAATAACAATAGAATGAAAACACCATTGAAATAATAAATCGCACAGTATATGACAAAAGGTTTTTTTAATGTCTTTTGGCATCTTCTCTTCTCTACCCTTATTGAGCATATAACAATAACAGTTATAGCAAAATGAAAGCATATTTATATGAAAGAGCAAAACATATTAAACACTATTGCATCACATAATCTATAAATCTGGGAAAAACTTTTGCATCACATGATCTATAACTATTGCTTCGCATGATCTATAACATTTAATCCATGTTACCACATCCCTTTTTGACCTATTTCATTACATATTGTTACCATGGACAGATTCACCATTACACTAAGTTTCTTGAATGACAAAACTTCAAAACATGAATGATAAAACTTTAATCTATATAATATTTTCATTGTTAGTTACATCTCATTAGTTGCAACTTCTTGTAATGCAGTCAGCATAGACACAATTCAAAAACATTTGTAATGGCAAACAGCAGTATTTACAAATTCTTCTTAATCAATCTGTTCATTTATATTTAGTTTTTCAATTCTATATTTTGTTTAATGTAATATTTTATAATTATATTATTCTTTAAATTCTATTAAATGAAAATGAATGTACTGACAAAATGAATGTAAGATTGAAATCATAAATACGATTTACAATATATGTCGTGTTTCCCATGTATATCGTATTTCACGATTTGAAAGATAATAAGAGGAAAATGAAAAATATTGATGATAAACGACAGAAACAACAGTTCAAAAATCGATTTTTATCATAGGCTGTTACATAGGTCACGAAACAGTGGTACAATGATTGCTGTGCATATGTTTGTGGCAAACAAGAAATTTGAATGAAACCATATGTTATTCTCGTAATTAAAAAAAAACATTAACATAATCAAATTAAGCTAAAGTGTTTCATATAGAGAATATCATATGGCTTTTGTAATATCACGTCCGTATCAACCCGAGACACCAATATAATTCAAAGAACTATGATCGAGAAAGTTTATTGGTTGATGGTTGATACGTTGTGTGATATTCCAAAAGCCATCTTCTTCTTCTTTGGAGTTTTTGGGAGTCAGCTTTCCTGGTGTGGAACTTACACCTTAGATAAAAAGGCCATATATACACTTTATTATATACCTCGAGTAGACGTTTTTTACGTGACATGACATAATACATGTAAAGGGTCTGGTAAAGCCTTTGCAATCGTGAAGTCATACAGATGTTTGGTTTGACAAAGCCGTTGCAATCGTGACTGATATCGATATCATCACGGATAGTTGAAACTGCACGATTGTCATTAATTGTATAACATACAATTTACGTGTGCTTATTACTAAGTATATGATAAAATGGTGTAAAAAGTAAAATAAAAAAAAAATACCGAACTCCAAGTAAAATTCAAGAAGGAAAGTCCCTTATCAAATGGCAAAATCAAAAGCTTAAACACATGAAACGAATGGAAAACATCTGTCATATTCCTCACTTGGTACAGACATTTCCATATGTAGAAAACGGTGGATTAAACCTGGTTAATAGCTAGCTAAACCTCTCACTTGTATGACAGTCGCATAGAATTCTATTATAATGACAACAATGTGTGAGGAAATCAAACAGACTTAATTGGTAAAAATGTCAAAAATAGAGGTACAGCATAATCTTAATCACTATAAAAACAAACAACTATGTCAACAAAGAAAAAGAAAATTACATATATAGACACTCTATCACTCTGTTTTAAATCTGTGTACGTATACTACCATTTAAGCCTACCAGAAAGGTTCTACTGCGTAGCTGATGTTCTCGGCTCTTTCGCATTTTACTTTTTGGGAACATAATCGATCAGGTTGACTTCTAGAATATGTAGTATATGCTGCTTCATAAAAGCAATTGCCATCACCACGTGTAACGCCAAAAATTGTAATCAATGGTGTTACATTTCTTCGGTAAATAATTAAAAAACTAAGGTTTCAACTCCCTCATGCCTTAGATGGATTTGGTTATTATTTTATGTCCCTTTTGGTCATATAACTCTTCACGTGTTAAGGTATTTATACATCCTTGTTTTCAATTTTTTGGGGTATGAGTATTCTTGATTAAGTTATATATAGAAAAGCGGTTCGGACTCAACAAATTTAAAAATTGTTGTTTTAATTTTTCTATCATTGGGTCGATACTGCTTCTGGTGGAAATTCAATCCCCGAGAGTAACATCAGTTCATTAGTCGGTGCCTCGGTATTGAAGTGATTTATAAAATACTTTTGAAATTATATTTTCCGTTAATGAATAGAGAAATGATTTTAAAAAATCTAAGGTTCCAACTAAGGTTTTAAACTTTGTTGTTCCAAAAATCAAAGTGATAGATTCCTCATCTTTCTTTTTCAATGCAATCAAGGACTGGAAAACGCTTCCTAGTTCTAAAAAGTAATTTAAAAACAATGGCTAAGATTCCATCTTAGATATAGTTAAAGTGTGAATTGATTAATATCTAAATAACATTTAAAAGAAAAAAAATAAGCTCGTTGTTAGATGTAACAAGTGAAATACATTAAAAGGACCCCATTGGAAATAAGCGGAAATGCTTTTATGGGCAATCCTTGGAAAGATATCAACGTATAAGTGTATTTTAAGGGCTTATTCGCATAATTTTATCTTATACTTTTATGTTTCATATTTTTAACCACGCTTGTAAATATTTGTTATCATTCCTAAACGAATTTTACCTTTACCTCCATCAGGCAAAGTTGATCTAGATGAATTTGGCCATTATTTTCGGCCCAATTTTGATCGTATAGCTCTTCACATGCTTGGTAGTTCTTCGTTTTTAATTTTTGGGTATGAGCATTCCTGATAAAGTTTTATCCAGAAAAGCGGTTCTTACTTAAAAAATTTATAAAGTATTATTTTAATAAATTCAACTACTTCTTCATACTGTACATGTTAGAGCTTTGATTCAGTATTGTTTTATAATATATCGTTGTGTTTAAGTGATTCGAGATGATTGTTTTCTGACCAACATTTGATGTGATAAAAGAACGTTCAATTAAAAATAGTAAAGAGCAGTAAAAAAAATATAATTGAACAACCTACTCATCATCAACCCCCACCCAACCCACCCCACACACGCACACACATTAGTATTTTAGTATTTTAAATGTACTGATTTACTTAAAGCACCTCAAATAAGAAAATGTAAACAACTTTTTTCAAAACAGTTCATATCATTATACGTACTTTAATTTGAGTTCTTACTTCAATGCAGTTACACAATTATGTAATCTATTTAATGCATCAGGACACATGAAAATCAATAATTTAAAATTCAAATATACATTATCACATGTATTCAATTATGATTTAAAAAAATAATATT